GCGCTGGGCTGGGAAGGCAGGCGTTCCTGCAACGGGGCTGACATGCCGGTGTCACGCAGGGCCTCTGTCCTGTTGCTGAGCGAAGATAGAGAGAAAGGGCGACTGGCCTGGCCCAGCGGCAGCCTGTGCTTTTCACATTCACAGCCTCGGTCCCAAATCCCAGCACAGGCTTGGCGTGCACTTCAGCCTCGGGAAGCGCTGGGGGCGCGTGCATGTCACGTAAGGAAGTCCTGCCACGGCAGATTCCTAGCTGGGAGCACCGAAGGCATCGGTACTGACAGCTGTGAGGGGACAAAGGTGCATGTAGACTTTTGTGTCTTGAAAACCCAGGCTGGGGAAGAGTTGGTGGCATCGGTCCTGCTCTGCAGTGGGACAGTCGCTGCTTAGGCCACGTCCTTTGTAATTTGGAAGCTTCTGAGATACGCCTCCTTCTGAAACAGAGAGAGGTGACTTGCTAGTTGGGTTGAAAGCTCATGTTGTTAGAAGAGCCGGGTCAGCTGCGAGTGACCGGAGTGTGCTGCCGGCTGGCCGCCTCCCCGCCGCGGCTGACTCATTCCCCTGCGGGACAGATTGCGTCTTGCGTGGGAGTCGCCACGCGGGCCCAAAGCTGTTCCCTGAGAGTTACAGGAATCACAACCTGCTGAAAGGGAACGATTGTTCTAAATATGTTCTTTTAGTGGGACTATATTTTCATTATCATTTTATTAATGGGTTCCTAAGAGGAAACAGAAGGAGCCACTGTCTTCAGAAAGCATTTGCTTTTCCCCCTTGGGGATGCTTGGTCCATTGGCTCTGAATTCTAAACCCTGCAGTCAGGTCAGGCCTGACTTTTAGTGCCTCTGTGCCTGGCGTAAGGCCCGGGCTAAAATCCCTCTGTATGCTGCTGCTTCCAGCCCAGAGTCTCTAGCTGATCTCCGCGGCAGATGGCATCACCCCGGGATATGATGACTTAGCAAGCGGCCGAGGAGGCATCATTGGTTCGTTATCATCAGGATATGTCAGGACAGAGCCGACGCCTGTCAGGGCCTCTGGGGCCACAGGAAAGAGCAGACATCATATGTATACTCTTCCAGGAGCCCAGGCTGAAAGCTCACCTCCCCAGGAGGAGAAGAGGCTGGAAGGGGTCCTCGCTGCTTGTGGGTGGGACCCCCTAACCGCGGGTGACTGCTTTGGGCTTGCTCTGTGGGAGATGTGGCTACAGCTAGGGTTCTAGTCAGCCCCAGTTTGCAAAGCTCTGGTGGCGCCTGGTGGCTGCTGCTAACAGCAGGGAAACATCCCAGGCCAATTTCCACTGCGTATGAATGAAACAGGGCCCCCAGAGCAGGGAGCTGGCCACTGGCTTTGTCACGAGGAAGCTGCCTGATAGCCCAGGGCGATTTAACTGTTTGCTGAGTGCTTGCTGCAGGCTGGGGTAGAAAAGTGAAGGGCAGGCTTGCCTCCAGGGCCTCTCGACTAGCATCCTAGTTCTCAAAGAATTTGATGAAAGTGCCAGGATCTCAGCTACTTCAGAAATAAAATGGGGGGGTAATAGAAACCTGATGGTGTCCCTGGGAAAATGGAAAGGGATAACGCATTTATAAGGAAGTGTTTTGTACATTGCCCGGCACCTAGTAGATGCACATTATTTGTTGAAGGAATAAATGAATGAAGATGAATCGAAGGGACCAAGGTGAGTCAAGGGTGAGTATCGTGTAGACAGGTAGAAAGTCTAGGCTAGTATCTTAACCTGCGTCCAGGTAGGGGGAGGCGAGGTTAGATTGGGATGAGCTGACCTATTACCAAAGTCAGGAGCTGACTGTCAGAAACGGGTCCCTGAGCGAGCACTGGGGTGACTGGGGACAGAGCCGAAGCATCATCAGAACAAGGGGACTGTGGTGCTGCTGGGATCCAGCGCCCAGGATTAACGAGGGCCAGAGAGACAGGGCAGGGTGAAGGGGGTGCAGACAGAATGGGTGAATGAGTGATGACTTTGGAGGCCTGGGGTCCTCCCTGCTGCCAGGACATCATCTCTGCTGGAGACGTGTTTCCCGGGCTGCACTTGTGTTTGAGAGGAGTAAGGAAGCTCTTTCCCGGAGACATTTACTTTTATTTCTATCTCCCTGGCCTGAGCACATAGTAAGTGGTGAATTCACACATACTGAATTTAAGGTGGTTTCTCTTTCCACTGCTTCCGCCAGTTTTCAGCATAGCCTAACGGACAAGAGCATGGGCTGGAGCCAGGTGCCTCTGTCTACCTCTGCTAGGTGTGTAGTCTTACGAGGCAGTCTCTCTCTGTCTCAGTTCTCTCATTTGTTAGATGTGAATAATACCTTATAGGGCTGTTATGAGGATTGGATGAGTTAGCGTAAGTCAAATGCTCAGAATAGTCACCGACACATTGCAAAGTCTCCATAACTCTTAGGCATGATTATTACCTTCACCACTGGAATTCGGCAAATAACCAAGCAAGACAGCCCCTATTTGGAGGAAGGACTTTGGATCCAATCCTACAATGCTGTACCCTAATCCCTAGAGCCTGGTGCTCAGTAGGTGCTCAGCAGATATTTGTGATTGCTGAATTATGTAGAATTGGGTTGCTGGTGCAGCGTGGGGAAGTCAGGACAGGGCCCAGGGTCCTTCAGGCAATTGCCTGACTGCAGGGAAACGTGGGAGGAGATGGGAGAAGGTGTCTGGACCTGGGACCAGGCACAGCCGGGATTCTGGGACAAAGAGTCTGGACTGATCAATGTGGGGAGCAGGGGCGGGGCAGGGAGAGGGAGGAGTAGGAACGGCTCTAACTGTGGCCAGCTCCATTCTCAGATAAGTGGAAATCTGAGTTTGGGTCTGTAATCAGCCTTTTACCTTGGATAGGATGGCAGTGCTAGGTCAATATTTCTGGTTGTCAGGAGTCTTTTCTCTAAAATAGGAATGAAAATACTAAAAATATTTCTTGCTTTTCTGAGTCATATACTTGTTAGTAAGAATCAAATGAGGCTCTATCTCATGAAAGTGCTTAATCAACTGTAAATTACCATGAAAATATTATGACTGGTATAATTCTCTATCCCATCGAAGCCTCGGTTCTTTAGCGTGTCCTTAGCATTTCCATCCCAGAGACATTTGCATTTTCAGAGAGAGTCTGGAAAAAAGGCCTTGATGAAGTCAAAGGAATGAATACTGATTACAGTAATACCAGAAAGGCACTTCTGCCCGAGGAAGCCTTTGGGACTGAACACTGGGACCACGAATGCTGAAGAAGAAGGAGGAGGAGGAGGCGCAGGAGAAGAGGGTGTACGGAATAGACGGGCTACAAAATGCTTCTAATTTCCATCACCGCTAACTTCCACAGTTCTTTCTCCTCCTTCTCCTTCTCCTCCTCCTCCTCCTCCTCCTCCTCCTCCTCCTTCTCCTCCTCCTTCTCCTCCTCCTTCTCCTCCTCCTCCTCCTCCTCCTCATTCTTCTTCTCCTCCTCCTCCTCCTCCTTCTTCTTCCTCCTCTGTCTTTAAGTTGTAAAGTGTCACATAGGGTCAGGATGGGAACTCTCTCCCATGAGGCTAGGCAGAAGGTGAGGGCAGGAGTTAGCGGGGGTCTCCTGTTCCTAGAGTACAATGCCTGTGGCTTTCATATAACCCTCATAAATAAATTGAAAATATCATATTGTGGTAATATCGAATCTACTTGTACCCATACAAAAAAAACCCTCCACTGAACCCTACTGGGAAATACTCTCCTCCAATCTCTGTTCTAGTGCTCATAGACCTATTTTTTCAATACGGATCAATCCATATGCAGCAAATCATGTATAGACGGAAGCAACCTCTTCTCTTTTGACAGAGGGAGTCTCATCCTCTTTTATGTTGCAAAGTGGTTGTGAGGGGTAAGTTTGATTCCTACTTCTCACAATTTAGTGAAAAATGAGGGGAACGAACTAAGGAAGGTTGTAATTAGGCAAGTAACACAGTTCTAGGGAGAAATCATTGCCTGGTTGCATTTAAGGAGCTGTCGGACTAGAAGGATTGAAAGAGTGAGGGAATTCAAGTGCTTTCACATGGGTGAGGTACCCAGTGTTTATCCTCACATGGAAATAAATGTTTTCCGCCCTCCTCCTCCTTTTTATCCACGACCAGCATTACTTGACCAGAGGAACTGCCTTATGCATAATCTCTCTCTCAGCTTCCTCCTGGTGGATGCAGATAAAGTAATGTGCTCATTTGCTTACAAATATTAACTGAGCAGCATTTGATTTGATAGCATGGCTTTTCACAGCAGCCAAGTGTGGGGGTCCTACTAAAAATTGTCCCCAAACATGAAGTCTCCTTCCTCTTTGCACTCAGTTTTAAGGAATTCCATTCAAACAATTGTCAGGGAGCAAATTATTGTTCTGGAAGACTGGGAAAGATGTGGGAGGATGATGGCTGGGGGGTGGGATAAGGTCTAAATGAAGAGGTCACACTACTGAGAGAAAGCAGCTGAGGACAAATGTGAGACAAGAGTGAAGGAAGCAAAAGAAGGGATGGGATCCAGCCTGGGTGGAACTGAGCATACGGACTCAAATGGTACCTGACTCACTAATTCTTAGGCATTTTGAACCCAGGCAGGGCTTGTCCCAGGGTACAGACACGATGGAAAGAGGGGTCTGCTCTTTGGCATGAGAAATGCTTCTCAACCTTCTCCTAGTCATACTACACACAGAGAACGATAATAGGGTGTTGTCTGAGACAAGCTGGGGGGCTGCTGTCTGCACCAGGAGTCTAGCCCCGTGACACTTGCCCTTCAACCCCAGCCCAGCAGCCCCGGAGATTTTGGGGCAATGGCATCTCCTGGTGACCTATTTGCAGCATGCTGGTTGGAAAGCTCTGGTTTTAGGGACTTACTTGTGTTCCTCATGGGAGTGAGAATTGAACTCCACAAGCTTTGTTGAAGATCAATGCCTTGCAGGCAGAGATAAGGGTGGTCTTGAGTACAGCACTTGCTCTGCAGGACTCCCTTTAGATTGGGCCACCACCAGTTACATACATTTATTGAGCGCCTATTAAGTGCATGCTCTATGCAGTGTGGACAGAGAGCTGTGCTGAATACTGAAGGGGGGGAGGAAAGCTGTTTGTCTGAAAGCTGTAACACAGCCCAGAGCAAAGGTGGGAGGGCTTCAGTGGGTCAGGACGCTGGGCCCCAGCTGTGACAGGTGGCAGGCGTTGGCACTTCTGTAGCGCCGGCACCAGGAGCACCTTCTCAGGACTGGCACTGCAGACTCAGGGGAAGCGGCAACAGGAGGCAGTGGACTTGGCCGTGCTGGAGGCTGGTTTTTCCATGGTCTGTGGGGTGACTTGGTACTTTGGCAGCACTTTTGAGTTTTGGAGACCTCAGCATTGGAGCAGGAGAGAAGCAAGATGGCTGGTGCTATGCAGTGGCTGGGCAGCCCCGCTAGTGAGCAGGTGGAGACTTCCCCCAGATAGATACGGAGACAGAGGAGGGAGGTCAGGATCCTGTAATAGTAAGGGCAGTGTCAAGTTTTGTTGTTAAGGACTGAATGCTTGTGTTCCCCAAATTTACCTGCTAAAGCCCTGATCCCCAATGTAATGGTGTGTGAAGATGGGGCTTTGGGGAGGTAATTAGGGTTAGATGAGGTGTAAGGGTGGGGTGGGTTAGTGGCATTATTTGCAGGGACACCAGAGAACTTGCTCTCTTGCCACCCACAGGCACCAGGGAGGGGCCCTGTGGACACACCAGGAGGAGGCAGCTGCCTACAAGCCAAGAGATGAGGCCTCAGGACGAAACCTACCTTGCCATCACCTTGATCTTGGACTTTCCTGTCTTTACAAACAAAATACATTTCTGTTGTTTAAGTCATTCAATCTATGGCATTTTGCTATGGTAGCCCAAGCAGACATATATAGTTGCCAAATGTTGCCATCATTCTAGTTTTGGTTCCCAGGATGTGCAGTCTGAAAAAAACATATACATGCTTGAAAACAAAGTAGCAGGTGTTCTTTAAGCCACTCTAGTCCCAGTGGGCAGGAAGTGTGGAGGGAGCAGCAGGCCCTTTTGGGGCTCAGTCAGGCTCTACGTTGGGTCTTTATAGTTAGTACCATTTAGTTCTCACAACAGCCAGCAGAGAGAGTATCATTATCTCCATTTTACAGATGGGGAAACGGAGATGCAGAGTAATCTCCTGGTACCTACAATATCCAGATTTGGAGCCCTGTCGTTTGATTTACACTCAAGGTCCCATTCTCTTGAGCTGGTGTGGGAAGTGGCAGAGCTGGTCTTGTATCCAAGATCTGTCTAAATCTGAATTTCCTACTCTGCATTCTATCGCTCTAATTCTCTGTATGCTGGGAAGACAGTTTGTTTTTCAACTATTTTAAATCTTTCTTGCATTCGTAAAGGAATTATATTTCATCCTTAAAAAATATGTAGCTAAGTGTTAATGAAAAGTAAGACCTGCATTTTCAAGAACTGAAAGAAAATGTGTTCCGTGCATCTGTAATGAAACTTCGGTTTGAATGATTTTTTTTTTTTTTACAAGGTAGGAAGAGTCTGGTCAAAGTGTGGAGATAAGTGGGCCGCACTTCCTATGACTTCACTTCTTTCCAAGAAGATTGCATTCCTTGAGAGCTAGAGAAGGCAAGTTTGGGGAAATTAAAGGAAGAACGCAAAACAGATGGCCAGATCAAATACGTTTATTGGGCCTAATAGCTGTCGAATTTGGCTAGAATTGAATATGAAAGAGAACGATCTTGAGCCAGAGTTTAAATGAAGCAATTTAAGGCATGTTTGGGAGAGGAGATTCTCTTCCTTACCAACATCTACGCTGACATTTACTATGAGTTCAACAGCACATTAAGCATTTGCATAGATTGTCATAGTTAATCTTTATAATAGCTCTATCAAGTAGGTAAGGTTAATATCCACATTTAACTGGTGAGGAAACAGGCTTAGATAAATTGCTTTCTTGAGGTTGCTGGCTACTTAACTGTGAACAAGAAGGATTCCGGTTTTGCTGGGTGTTGCCTGCATGGAGGGGAATAGTGGTATTATACTGGGCTGGGGCAGTTTGGCCTTGATTCAGGCCAATGTTAGTGAAGTTTGGGGGGCAGGAAATGATGTGTTTGCAGCAGTGTTTTAGGACAAACAATGAAGCAGGAAGACTGGTGATCTGAAGACCAGGAAGGAGGGTTTTGTGTGGTTCAGGGAACAGGAGATGAGTCTGAACTGGGACGGTGGCGAGAGGCCCGGGAATGAGGGACTGGATGCAAGAGATCTCAAGGCTGTCAAAGGAAGAGGGCGTGATCTCTGGATGAATGCCAAAGTAAAAGAGGGGTGAAGGGCTCCAAGCTGATTTCAGGATTTCAGCCTTGGGCAATGGAAAAATGGTGGGGCCTTCAACAGAAGTGGAAAGTGAGAAGGTGGAGCTCCTTGGGAGAAGAGGAGTAGAGACTGGGCACCTTGGGCTTGATCTCACTAGAGAATCTCTGCATTGACTTACAGAGCAAGCTGGCAAGAGGTCAGGTTTAGGGGTAGTGATTTGGCCCACAGCCGCAGAGCAGTGGTAGTTGCAATCTTGGAAGTGCCTGCTCCCAGGCTAGGCTCCTAAAGCCATGGGATCCAGCCTTGAACCTTGCCTTTGGGGCTTGGCTTGCTCACCTCATCCCTCTGGTTCATGGACTAGTCAGCTAGTCCATGTGGAAACTTGGTGTGGGTTAGAAAAAAATCCTTCCTCAAGACACTTTTCTTTTTTTTGGTATGGCAAGCACCATTTTATTTTTTTTCCCCAGCATATTGTGGGGGACTCAAGACACTTTTCTGATATCTTTTAGAAATTTGTCAAAATGACTGTATAAATCTACAATGATTATGAGTAAAGGGTGCCCCCTGGAGTTGTGCAGTGCACACAACAGGCACCAGCCTAGTCACCTTGCATCAGCTCTCAGGGTCCTGATATTTTGATCTCAAGCATTCATTTCTCCTTCTAAGCTTTCCTAGCCGGGTTTGGCATCCTGGCTCTGGCCTGGGTACTTCTCAGTCAAATTAATTCCACTGGGTTTTCCGCTGTTACGTGCCCCGGGCATCAAGCTCTGCAGCTGCTGCAGTGCCTCCCTGGGACCTTCAGTTGCTCCCGTTGTCCAAGTAGAGAGCCAATATCAGGACTTTAGGGATTGCCACCCTCATAGGTGGAAGAGAAAGTGACAAGAACTCAGAACTTGAATGACCCAGAGCCTCAATCTTTGACTCACAGTCCAGGACTTGTTCCCTTGGCTTAGGCTTCCTGCATTGTACAAGTCCAAAGAAGCAGTGCTTGATCTTAAAAGCAACTTCAATGCATTATCAAATGCAAAGCCTTTATCTGTGTGTATTTATTTTGTTCTGTAATAACTATTGTGTCACTCACCTAACTGAAGTCAAACTAAATTGCAATTTCTCAGCTAGGTCTCCTGCCCCCCAGGGTGGTTCTTTTTATGCCATTCCATGTTCAGATGTCTTTTTTGTGTGTATGTGCAAGGTTTTCTCTGCTTGATTGGTAGGTATCTAGAAAACAAGGACTGCATCTGATTAATTTGCTTTTTATAGCACTTAGCATGATGAAGCAGGCAGATGAGTGCTAATAGGGGGTGTTGGTGATCCTGTCTCCCTGGGAAGAGGGTAGGTGGCCTCAAACATACCTATTTGCTAACTTGTAGGTCAACAGTACAGATGGGAACCAGTAGGGTAGCAGGGAACAAGAGATGGATGGAAGGGGTAAGTTCTGTCTCAGGAAAAGCCATATTACCAACTCCTTTATAGCAGGAAATTATTGGGAACACAATAGTTAATTTAATACTAGTATGTACTGATATATATATATATGATGGCAAATTTCTGAAAATTTCTTTCTTTTAAATCTGACGTTGGTTCATTAATACTATCAGGAACACCAAAGACACCTTGAAACGTAATCAAATTGCCAAAGAGAGGAGCTTTTTAAAAGCAAAAAGTCTGAGACTACATTGATTGCCCTTTTGGTAAAATAACAGTGGTTGTACTGGATGGGAAGAAGCCAATATTCTGAGGATTTAGGAAATGAATTAATAACATTCCTCCTTCACTTGCTCAGTTTAATGCAATGCTGTCACAGCAAATCAACTGCTTATGACTGCCTGCCTGAAAGTGTTTGAGCAATAATTTTATGAACAAGGTGAATGGTGTAGTGACACATCCATATACTATTTTTTTTATAGGCGATGTTCTAAGCATTCAGTTTGTTTATTTCTGAGATTTTTTTTCTCTTAGTTTTTAAAAAGTCATGAAATGCCATTTCACATTTAAGCAGGGCTTATAACGATGTTTAGGTACGTTTATGAGCTGAGTGGGCATTAGAATAAACACCTTTTAAGTTGTAATGCTCTGAAATATCATAATACGAGGTTGCAAAAAAAAAAATTGGAACACCAGTGTGACAGTTATTTTATAGTCACCTATTTGTGACACTGGTTGTTTCTCACTAGTTTCTCAATCATCTTTTTGTATTAATATTAATATATTATTCCTTGGCATAGATTGTCTGAACATGACCCATTTCTGAGTCAAAAATCCCTTGGCTCAGAGATTCTTAATCATTTTTTTTTTTTTGGAGTGTCATGTAATGGAATCCTTTGAGAAGTTCATGAAAGTCATGTACATACATTTCCCCCAGAAAAGGGCTGCATATAATTTCAGGAAGTTCAAGGTACAGACAAGAAGCTAAAAATCCTGACTTGTTTCATCTTGAGAGCTGAAAATGCCAACTATGCTCTCCTCCTTCTTCCCTTCCTGGAACCCCTTCTCGGTACCTTCTGAAACCAGTAACTGCACAGAGCGGGGAGGAGGGCACAGCCGACAGCAGCAGATCGGCCCAGAGTAAAAGAGGCCTCCACTGACTCTGCTTCTAGCATATGATGCGAATGAAAGCAAGAGCCTAAATTTGATCCAAGCCTAAGTTAGATCATGAATTCATGTAACAAGGAGCACTTGAGCACACACTATATACTGGGCTCTGTGATCGGTCTGTAAATGCATAATGACTAGGATGTAGCCCCTGCCCTCATGGGACTCAAAGTCTAGTGTACATCAGCGTAGAAACAAATAGTAAAATTCGAGGTCTTGGCTCTGTTACAAGGACAGATAACATCTTGAGTCCTGAGTCACCTCACAGATGCATAGTTTCTCCTAAAAGGAAATAGCTGACACAATTTCAAAGGAAAACACCTCAAAAATGAAATGCATGCCTTATCAACAGTGAACATCTCTATACAGATTTCTCTATGCATTTTCAAGTGTGGGAGTATTTCTGTTGAGTAAGTTCCTAGAAATGGGCTTGCTAGATCAAAAGGTGTGAATATTTAAATTTTTTTTCTTTCTTTTTTTTTTTTGAGATAGGGTTTTACTCTGTCATCCTGACTAGAGTGCAGTGGCATCATCATAGCTCACTGCAACCTCAAACTCCTGGGCACAACTGATCCTCCTGCTTTAGCATCGTGAGTAACTGGGACTATAGTTGTGCACCACCACACCCAACTGATTCATCTTGAACTCCTGACTTCAAGCAATCCACCTGCCTTAGTCCCCCAAAGTGCTAGGATTACAGGCATGAGCCACCATGGCTGGCCTGAAAATTTAAATTTTTAATAGAGATACCCAAATTACCTTTCGGAAAAGATGTGCAAATTTCCTATATGAGGAAAATTTTTATCATTTATGAATGATGATTCTTGTTCAGTGATTAATTTTGCAAGAATATTGGTATTTCCTTACATGGGCCTCTGTGTAAGTTCTTCTTTCATTCCTTTAGAGCCTTACTTGTTGTCTTCCCTGGGAGAATCCCGGTGTATCCCTGAAGCATTATTTTGCAATCTCATTTGTCCTTGACCTCCTGCAGCCTGCCCCCAAATGTTCATCTCCCAGTTTATCTGCCAGGGGCTGCTCTGTGCCTGGTATCTGTCACTGCTGGCTGCATGGTCCCTACTCTGTGCTCCAGCAGCACATCAGGGCCTCTGGGGCTGAAATCTAATGCGCAACCTTGGCAACAAAGAGCATTCCTGTCTTTTCCCTTGCAGGTAGGGGAAGTGGACTTAGCTAAACACAGATGAGATGCTGGGTTGAGGAGAAGAGGGCTGGGAAGGGAGGAGAGAGACAGAATATTTTTCTTTTAGCTGTGGAATCAAGCTTTTTGATTTTATTTTGGTTATCAGATTTTTGTTTCTTTGAATGTAACTTCTTACTGAGGCTGGCTTGAAAGTAAGCACTTTGTGGCTTGTCCTTATGAGGATCACAGGGGTCAAGGCTACCACTAGCCCACTGCCATTGTGCCAGGCATATAGAGTACCAGCACAGGTGCAAGGTTAGGCACGGATGGCACCTTTGCACACGTTGTAAGAAGGCACCAGGAGGCTGCAGTCCTAAGCCTATCCTCCAGGTGAACTCGACTCTGAGCCAGAATGCATGGTTTGGGCAGGCTGTATGTAGTTCAGTCCCCACTGACACCCTGGGCCATGTGCCTTTGTGCAGTGACCGGTGCAACTGTACACAGGAGTCCTGACAGTGGGCTCCATACCCAGCTTCTGTCTAAGGGCCTCGGTGTCAGTGGGCTGTGGTGTGCTCACGGAGACAAACACGGCCTGAAGGTTGAGCAGAGGCCTCAGCCTCAACAAACTCATCTTCCTTCAAGCTTCCCTGCCTCTGCCTACTGCCCACCTGCCTCCTGCCCAGTCATCTCTCCTGCATCCTGGAGACAAAGCAGCCATGTTGAGGGATTTTGCTGTAGTATATCTTGCTCTAGCAAGAGCAAGTTTTGTGTTCAGCTTTGGTTGGTGGCTTTTCATTCTGGCCCTTTCATCGGCTTAGCCTTGTGGATGATAAGGCTGTAAAAGTTAATGCTAGCTGCTGTGACAGAGGAACTCAAAAATCCCAGCCACTGAACACAAGGGAAGTTTGTTTCTGACTCACAAGGCAGTCCAATGACTGTTCAATGTACAGAATCTGTGGATTCTGTATCTGCAGATTCAATCAACCATAAATTGAAAATATTTGGGAAAAAAACCAATAAAAACAACACAAATAAAAAGAACAACACAGTATAATAACTATTTACATAGCATTCAAATTATATCAGGTATTATGAGTAATCTAAAGGTGGCTTAAAATATATGGGAGGATGGCGTAGGTTATATGCAAGTATTACACCATTTCATATAAGGGACTTGAGGGCATGGGGATTTTGGTGTCTGAAGGGGTCCTGGAACCCATCTTCCATAGCTATCAAAGGACAACCCTAGCGACTTGGGGATCCAGGCTCCTTCCATCTCCCTGCCCTGCCACCTTTAACCTGAGGCAGGAGAAGGGGATAGAGAGGATGGAGGACAGCCTCATTTTGACTTGCAAACGACCCACCTCACTTCTGCTCGCTGTCTGCCGGTAGGGCCCGCTGTCACACAGGGCCCAGATGCAGGAGTTGCTGGGAAATGCAGTCCTTGGCTGGGGAGCTGCTGCTCCCAACCAGTTTCACATCCCCAGGGGAGGAGTGAATCTTTGCTGGGCAGTAAACTCTCTCTGCCACTGGGCCTGAGCTGAGAACCACCAGGGGTCTCCAGCTTCCCCTTCCCCGCCCAGGTCACCCATCTGTTCTGCGGGGAGACATCTTTGTACTTTGTACACAAGCAGGCTTCGCTCAGGGAGGACCTGAGGCTTCAGGGGGGAACGGGTGGGAAGACGGGGCGCTGACCCTCCTTGCATCACACCTGCCTGTGCTCCTGCCCCACCCCAGGGTGAGCGCGGGCCTCTCCCCGGCTCCCTCCGCTGTCTGCTTCCTCCTCCCTGCACCTTAAAGCAGAGTCACAGATACGTTCACACGGGGACCCCTGGGACCCCTCCCTGGCCCCCTCATGTTTTTTTGATGGCCTTGGCCGGAGGGTGACTAGGGAGAGGAGGAACTTCTCCCAAAGCCAGCCTCCCCGCCCTTCCTGAGCGCGCGGATGACGAGGGCCCCGCGCGCCGCTGCGGAGGAGTCCTCCCTCCGTGACGTCAGAAGCGCTGCCGTTGCCGTGGCAACGCCGGCGGCTCTGAAGGCCTCTGGCGGCGCACGCGCTGATTTCAGGGCTCGCTCTTCTTTAATGCCGGAGGGGTAAAAATGAACCGCGCTGTCCCCAAAAAAGCAACTTAGTCATAAGGAGATACTATCCAATACGCACGCGGTCTGTAGGCGGAGACGGCTCCAGGGAGTGGATGATGCTGGAATAACCTGAGGGACGCGTAGGGGAACAAGAATTCTTTCTTTTCACACAAAACCTTTTGTGTTCTAGAAAAAAGGAAAGTGCTGGTCCACCCTCTCTCGCAGTGCTCTTCACTTCCACTCGTTTCTCTTGAAAGGTCTCATTAAATGACGTGGCCCATTCGTTACCCATGATCCCTGCTGCAGGACTGGAGGGTTCTGGAAACACTGCAGAGGTGGGCAGCGTTAGGTGCCAGGGTGGTAGGGGAGGGGAAGAGCCTCCACTCAAAGCCCACACGTTCTCAGCTGCCCACCTTCAATACATGTGTTTTTTCCTTCCCATGCTGTCTTTCCTAGCATCTGAGAAGTTTAGATGCACCAATTTGCATTATATACAAGAGGCAGGACATAAGAACTAGTGAATGAGACGGACACAGCATTGCTTTAGTGGCCTAACACCCAGGCATTTGCATCATATTCACCCAGGGGCTCTTTGACTTCCTGGCATGTTCATCTTGATCCAGTTAATCAATATCGCTGAGCTTCCGTATCTTTGCAAAATGATAGCAATATCTGCTCCGTGGGGTTTTAAGGAATAAATGACATAATGCATGGAAAGTGCTTAGCACACTGTCTGGCACATAATAGGCACTCCAATAAATGATGGAGATTTCTCCTATTTAGACTATTTCTTAAAATGTTCCTAGTCCAGGGCTGACATTTGCATACACTAAACCTTTGCAGAAGTTAGAAAAAAGTGCCTCTGCTGGCAGACAAAATGAACAAAGGTGCTTCCCGCTCCAGCCTGGCGCAGCCCTGTGTGGGCTCCCATGAGGGTTATGGCTTGGCAGACGGAGTAGCCCTGGCTCTGACCTCCTGTCTCTCTAGGATTTCAGCAATTTTCCTGGAAGGGAGCTTGGAAGAGCTAAATCTAATGGAAACGTTAGAAAAGATTCAAAATAAATAAGAGAGGGGAGAAAGGGATTAAAGTTCTAAATCTCTTTAACCACAAGAAATCAGGCATTGGTTCAGTACTGCTGGTCTCTGCTTTCTCCAGGCCTGCTCATTCCTGATGACTGCCCTGTTAAACCTGCAGGCAGCATCAGCAGCTTGGTTTTCTTTCTTTCTTCTTGTTATTATTACTTTTTTTAGATTGGCTCTTGAATGCTGGCCCTGGATAAGGTGTAATCTTCTTACAGGCGGTATGGAACTTAGAAGAGTTTGATGCTAGCTTTGAAGGTGCTGCTCAATACTGGCTCCTCGGGGCTGTTTTCTGCATTGGGGTGCAGCCATGACGAGCATTAGAGTCATTCACTCAATATGCATTTGCAGAGCAACTATTATACACCACAGCCCCCTGTTCTTGGGGACTTACGTTCTAGTAGGGGGAGCAGAAAGAAACTAAGTGGTCATTTGGTTTTGTATATTGATATGCCTGGTAATCTTTGATTGAATGCTAGACATTTTATATGAGAAGTTATAAAAGCTCTGACTGATAGTAACTTTCTCTAAAGAGAATTTATTTTTGCTTCTGGCAGGCTATTATACCAGAAGCATATCACCTTTATCCTGTTTGGGATTGAAACGATTTAGAGCTGTTTCAGTTTTGTATTCACCTATTTGTTATTTACCTTCACTTCTTGGAGATAGTCCTTTAAAAGTTGTGTTTATTCTTCAAATATGTCTATGTCCTAATGCTCAGAACCTGTAAATATATTAGGTTATATGGCAAAGGGAAATTAGAGTTGCAGATGGAATTAAAATTGCTAATCAGCTGACCTTAAAATAGGGACATTATTCTAGATTGGGTGGGGAGGCAGAAGAGGAGGTCAAAGTGATGGTCTATGAGAACTCTATCTGCTCTTTCTGGCTTGAACATGGAGGAAGAAGGCCACAAGCTAAGAAAAACAAGCAGCTTCTGCAAGTTGGAAAAGGTGAGGAGGGAGCATTCCTATTAGAGCCTCCAGTGGGAATGCTGACACCTTCATTTGAGCTCAGTGAGACTCTTGTCAGCATTTTAACCTATAGAACTGTAAGATAATACATTTCTTCGGTTTTAAGCTATCAAATTTGTGGTAATTTGTTGCAGTGGGAAACTGGTACAAGGGTTCCCAGCTGAAAGTCTTGAGTGTTTCCCAGAGCATCCTCCTAGTGGGTCCTGAACTTCATATTTTGTTTTCATAGCTCTGTGAGATGGCTAAAATCTTCCCTCTTGTCTAGTAGTTTCTGGTCGCTGCATACAAATCAGCCACAGTCTGGAGAGTAAGAAGTGTTCAGGATTCAGAATCACTTCTCTGCACTTCCTATCTCTTAGAGATCCACTCCCCCAGGCTTGGGCTTCTTAGGTATTCCCGAACTCAAATTTATGTCTCTCCAGCCATACTGAGCACTTACCAGCTTCTCAGTATGTAGCTTCTTGCAGATATATATGGCAAATAAATATAAATAAATGGTGGCTATTGTGTTACTTTTATCATTAATTGAGTTTAGGAAATCCTTGCTCAGCCTAATGGCTTTGGGCAAGTCATTGCTCTTCTCTGGGCCTCTTTTCCTTCATCTGTATAATGAGGTTTTCAGATGAGATGATCTCCAGGTTGTCTTCCTGGTAGCTCTTGCTATCTCTAATCCTGAGGCCACCTGTGTGTGTGGGCGAGCACTGTGTGGGTTGGCTTGGTAGGGGTCCCAGAGGTAGAATCCCTTTGGAGAAAAGAGAACTCTTGTATACTGTTTGTGACAATGTAGACTGGTACAGCCATTATGGAAAATAGTATGAGGTTTCTAAATAAATTAAGAATAGAAGTACCATATGACCTGTCAGTCCCTCTTCTGGGTATATACTCAAAGGAAATGAAATCACTACCTTGTAAAGATACTTGCACTACCCTGTTCACTGAAGCATTCATTGTTCATAATGGCCAAGATATGGAAATAATCTAAGTGCCCATCAATGGATGAATGGATAAATATGTATACAATGGAATATTATTATACTATTCAGCCCTGAGAAAGAATGAGATCTTGCTATTTGCCACAACATGGATGAGCTTGAAAGATATTATGTTAAATAAAATAAGCCAGACACAGAAAGATCTCACTTACATATGGAGTCTAAAAACTAAATTCAGATATACAGAGACAGAGCAAAGCAATGGTTACCAGGGGTGGGCAGGGGAGGAAATGGAGAGATGTAGATCAAAGGATACAAAGTAGCAGATATATGAGATAAACATGTCTGGAGACCTAATGTACAACATGGGACTATAGGTAATAAAATTATGCTTTATATAGGATTTAAGCTAAATGAGTAGATTTTAGCTGCTCTTGCCATAAAAACAAACAAACAAAAAAGGGTAACTGTGAGATGGTAGACTATATTAATTTGCTTCAGTATGGTAACCTTTTCACTATATTTATTCTATAACATCGTGTTGTATACTTTAGATATACACAATAAAATTTATTTAAAAGTCAAAAAGGAAGGGGTGGAGTCCTTGCCCAGAAGGTGCTTCCAGTATACTTATTATATTAGTGAAATAGGCCTATTTATGTAGAAAAAAATTAGAGAACTGAATAGCATATTATCAAATGACGAGAAAATACAGAGTAGGCAGAGAAGAAAGATTTCAATTTGGGTCTAATGAAATGACACAGCTGAATGTTACGAGCTCTTGTCTCTGGAAAAATAACAACTGAAAGCCTCAATACTTTCTTGTCAGCACAGTTTGGTTAATTAATCCATGATTAATCAGGAAAGTTAATTGAATTCATAGAATTTAACGAACTAACATCATGATGGATTTAGGATCCCAATGGAGCTGCAAGCTGTCTGACGTTGGTTATTTGCACAAGCTGTGATTTTGACCTGACAATTGAGTTTTTTGTAAGCAGTGTGGCAGTTAAATGGATGGCAGTTGGTTCCAGATTAAATAGGATGGAATTAGGTGGTATTTTGCAGGCTCTGCAGTTCAGTTTGTTTTCTGGGAAGAGAGTCAAGAAGACAAAAAAAAAAAAAGCAATAAAAGCCCTGATTACATGAATATTAGACCAAAGCAAGGACTTGTCAAGGAGTTCTAACTCTTATTCATCTTTGCCTCTGCAGTGCCCTAGCTCAGTGTGTGGCACATGGCAGATGATTAGCTAAATGAATGAATGATGAATAAATAAATGATTCCTTTGTCCATCTCTGCAACACATGTTCAATAGAGTACCCTGTTCCAAGCCCTGAGGTAGGTACTGGCACTAAAAGGTGGAAAAGAAGCTCCAGTCCCTACCCTGGGGGAGCTCCCAGCCCAGTCAGGGTGGCTGTCCCCCAAGGAGCTGTGTGTCTCGTCACACAATCTGATGTGGCAACAGATCAGTGACAAGGATGGGAAGGGCTGGTGGATCTCAGCTGGAAGGAGAGAGAGAGTTTGAGGGAGCTGGGAGGCTTTCACAGAAGAAGCAACACTTGGCTGGGCGCGGTGGCTCATGCCTGTAATCCTAGCACTCTGGGAGGCCGAGGCGGGCGGATTGCTCGAGGTCAGGAGTTCAAAACCAGCCTGAGCGAGACCCCGTCTCTACCAAAAATAGAAAGAAATTAATTGACCAACTAAAAATATACAAAAAATGAGCTGGGCATGGTAGGTTGAAGCAGAAGGATCGCTGAGCCCAGGAGTTTGAGGTTGCTGTGAGCTAGGCTGATGCCAGGGCACTCACTCTAGCCTGGGCAACAAAGTGAGACTCTGTCTCAAAAAACAAAACAAAAAAAAAGAAGAAGCAACACTTGAGCTGGATCTTCATGTATGAACAGATGTTTGCCAGGAAGAGAACTGGGGGAACCACATTCCATGGAGAAGGATAGCGCGTGTGAATGATGGGGATATGAAAGCAGAGAGTCTCTGATGAATGATGAGTGGCTTCGTGAAGCTGGAACCCACAGGAGGGAGTAGAGGGTGGGACTGGAAGGGGGTTGGAGAGAGGTTTGGAAAAGAAGCCGAAAATGCCAGTTTAGGGATCCTTGACTTTATTTGGATTTAAGGGAGGGGGTCTTTGAGGGATTTTCAGTATGTGAGTGACTGTCCGATTCACATTGTAGGAAGGAATTCCTGGAAGCGGTTGGCACGGAGGTTGGAGGAGAGAGAGGCTCGTGGCAGAGACTCTGGTCGTCAGTTGGTATTGACAGGCAATACCACAACCAACGGACCAGTGAGAGGGCCGCAGGGGCAGGAGGAGGGCTAAAGTGCTGGCCAAGTTAATTTCTCTGAGCATCCTTTTAGTCTGTAAAATGAGAAAAATTAATGTCTACCTCATAGGGTTATTTTGAGATTTTGATGAGAAATTGCATGTAAAAATCTAAAGTAAATATTAGCTATTTATGATTCACCTGGGGGATGATTTACACGCCCTGGCCCAGGCAGCAGCTGTAGGGATGGAGCGCAGGGGATGACAAGGAGACATTGGGAGGGCCACCAGAGTGCTGAGTCATGCCGCTTCCCCAGAGCTGAAGGCAGCTTTCCCTGTTTGCTGCTGCAGGGTCGGCTCCGGCTCCGCTGGCCTGGCTGCAAACCTCAGCTGGGGCCCTGGGGTGCTTAGCCTTGGGCCACTCCACACTCTCTGGGAGAGCCCCCGAACTAAGTTAGTTGCCAGCATGAGTGGCCCTGCGCTTGTTGATGGCAGCTGCACCTGAGCCCTATCAGCTCACCGGGCCTGTCCCAGCAGCAGCCCAGGCACCTTCTGCCTCTGCGCTGTGGGACATGATCGGCTTCACGTTCCTGAGCAGGAACGCCACGGGGGTCCTCAGCGCAGGGGGCAGATGGGATCCACACTGGTGTGATCTGCATGGGGAAGGGGGCTCAGGGGTGCAGAGCAGCTTCTGGGAGCCCCAAGCAGGTGCTACTCACCGGGAGAGAATGGAAGCACCCGGAAGGACCTCTCCCAGCTATTTTCTCTTGTTCTGAAGCCCCCACCAGCAGGAACCTAATTGTTTGGATGTGAAAGCTCTTTGTTTCCCATGGAATGCAAACACCCCAGGAAGAGGTAGGATCATCAAAGAAGGGGACAACAAATTTATGTCTCTCCAGCCATGAGCACTTACCATCTTCTCAGTACTTGAAGTAATAACACTAATGTAACAGCCAGTGTTTAAGGAGAGTTGTTTAGTTTCTCTGAACACTGTGATGGGCACTGTCTACTCATTGCCTCATTTAATTGTCCTCAGAGTCCTGAAAGTGGAACATGGTTACATGTGCGGACATGGGGACTTGGAAGCTAAGAAGTTTGATTAGAAATACGGAATGTGTATCTTTGCGAACACCATCACAGAGCGAAAACCAGGGAGAGAGCGAGAGCAGGGGAGAGAGAGGGGGCGCTGGTGGCTGTGGGGTGTTGGTCGGTGTCCCTGGAGGGGAGAGGAAAGGAGGAATGACAGGTGGAGGAGACTCTGAATTCTGGCTGGGACTGGCCTGCTTACCCCCTAACCATTGAATTTACAGATCCATTCCCCCTCACCGCCTGGTTTTGTCAGCTCTTAGTTTGGAGGCACAGAGAGGACCATGGGGCTTCTAGAAAGGGTTGGATGAGAGTTAAGGACTCTAGAAAGGACTGCCTAAGAGATTCCGTTTTATCCAAGTTTATCCAGATGTAGGAAGAGAAAGCAAAAAGGGTCGGCTTTGCATTCTTCATGCAGGCACAGGGTGTGGCACTCAGTAGGAGCTCAATAGATGCTCACCGAAGGAATGTTACCAAGGAGCTCAGTTGTGCTCACCTTACAGCCAGGCACACCCGGCTGACTGCTCCCCCTGTTCCCGGCAACGAAGGCATGACAGGTCCTTTGCCCGCACATTCAGGGCGACCAGACGAAGATCACATGCAATGGAGCTGCATTCTTCACGAATGATTGCTCACCTGGCTCACCTGGGCCATTTAAAATTTCTATCCTAAATTCTAGTTTTCAATTGGGAAGTGGGCAGAGATGACACAGATGGAAAAGGCATCTGGCCTGTTCTTCGGGGCCATGGTGGCACATGCACCTCAGATACAGGGTCAGAATGGCCCGATAGTCTCCAAGGGGTGTATCATGCCAGCGGTCGGTGCAAAACTGTAAAGGCAATGTGAGCAGCTCCAAAATGACATCAGAGACAGCACTGGAAGTCAGGAGGTCCTGGTTTTGCCACCAGCTGTGTGACCTTAGACATCATATTCCCTTTTTGGGCCTCAGTTTGCTTATCTGTAAAATTGGGGTATTGGACTCAATGAGTAGTTTTCAAGCTGTATTGAAAAGACCCAAAGAGTTCTGAGTTGCCGTCTTTATTCCAACTTTTAACCCTGTTACATTCTGCTTCTGCCCTCTCTGTCGCGGTGAGATTGGCTAACCAGCGCTCTGCAAAACAAAAATCATTTTTTATTCTCTGAAATCTCTTTGTGAAATAAAAGTGTTGAATGAGTGTGTGCATGTTTTCAGTGCCGATATCCAGTTCCTATCCCAGGTCTGTCACTAGTGTTATTGTTATTAGTTGTTGTGTGTCCTTAGGCAAATCTCCTAACTTCATTGAGCCTCAGTTTCTTCATCTGTAAAAGGAGAACACTACTAGCTGTCACACCCACTGGGTCATAGGCCCACCTGACCCAGCGCCTGGCACATGGGGAGTCCTCCCTCGATCTAGCCCCTACTGGTGCAAACACGCGGACACATGCATGAAACACATGGGCACAGGCACAGGAGAAAGATGGCTTTGGTCTAGACATGCACATCGTCCCATGGGTGCTAGAGAAATGAAACCATGCTGAAGAAGAAGAATGGCTCAGGCAGGCAAGTGGACTGTTTCACAGAAACCACTTAAGGCAAAACTCATCATTTTTTGTGATCATTAGCACGCTCCTTTGTATGCTTGTTGGTTGCTAGTCAGCCATGACATCTCATAAGAGTTTGCATTATAATTTATAATTCTGCTTCTTCCAATTACTCATTCCTCTCTAGCCTGCAGGAAGAGCTGGTAAGGATCTTTTGTGAACTGGTTTCTCAGAATCATGTCCATAAAGCCGTAATTTAAAGCCTTTCTATAAGGGTCGTGTGATGAAATATTATTTGTTTTTGGAGAGGAAAGGGGTGGGTGGGGAGTGGGTGAGACTGAGGGGATCAGGGCAAAGAAAGAGTGAGGGTAAAATTAGCTACAAATATTTGTCACCGTCTTCTAAACGAAGCTATGACATTTGCACTCTTTCTCAGATATTCAGATTTTCTCTGAAATCCTAGATTGCTTTCCTGTTACTGAAGGTTCTGGGAAACGGGTCCCAGAGCAGGCTTTGCCTACTGTGAGCTGACAAGGTGGATCGATGCTCTGCCATGCTGAGGGTTTCCAGGGGCTGCTCTGAGGAGCGGCGGGGCCCAGAGCCAAAGCAGGGTGTGGTCCAGGGCATGGTGCCATTTACACTGTGAGCACCCGGCCGCTGTTTTCTGCAGAGGGGCTGGAGGGGTTATATAGCGTCTGGGTACCAACCTGCAAGTCCCAGCTCTGAGCAGTGAATTGATTTTGGGCACGTCACTTAACCTTTTCGTTCCTTCATTTTCTCCTTCTGAAACGTGCAGATGATGATATCCATCCTGCTTATCAGACAAGGTTGTTTTGAGGAGCAAGTGACATAAATTATATGAAAATACTTGGAAAACAAGAGAGCTTAGTGCAAATGCAAAATGCTTTAGGTGAAAATGGACATCTTTGGATGCTTGAACGAGAAAAATGAGTTGCAAATGCCACCAAGAGGGCTGTTGTGCCGAGTGGAGGGGGTTGGCAAGCAGAGAGGCAATATTGGGTGGTGGCTAAGAACTCAGACCTGGGGGTGGATCTCAATGCTACCCTGTGCTGTGTGCACACCACGGGCCATGCTATTAATATTTAACATTAGTTGCAGTTTCGTCATCTATAAAATGAGAATTATTAAGTATTTACTACCTGGGTGGCTGTGACATTGAAATGAGAAAATACATGTAATGTGCTGACTTCATGTGTCTGGGACTGGGCCCTTTTTTTACATAAGACCTTTCTCAAGTACTTTACGCCCTAAATGGTGGAGGTAGAATGGGGGAAAGCACAAAAATTGTGACAATTTCCAGATTAGTCCTATTGTAGGTGTTGTTATGTCTATAGTGCAGAAGTCACCTTGGAAAGGATTTTAGCCCTTTCAGAAGGGGATTTAGTCATATGGATTAAATTTTTTAGGGTGGTCTTAGAGATGGTCCAAGAACATTGCCATTCCTTCCTTCCTTCATTTGACAAACTTTTACTGGGCACTCAGTATGTGTAGGATGATGAGCTAGGCTAGGAGATAGGGATTCAGTGATGTGCAGGATAAATAAAATTCCTCCCCTTAAGAAGCATATGTTCTAGTAAAAAAGTTACCTGTTTAGTATGTAGTCTGCAGTGACAAGTGCTAGGAGGAAAAGTAAAGTAGGGGAAAGAGACAGCATTACCTTTGGGAGGACCCAGGGAGGAGCCAGTAGCCACTCTTTCCTGCTCCAAACCCAGGGGCATAGGCTGCAGGGCACAGCTGAAAGGGCATTGCCCCTGACTGTCCTCTGTGTTTCCTCATTTGGGCAAGCATTTCTGTTTTGAGAAATGAAATGACAGCATGAGCACATGTCTGCTCTCTCTCTAATTACAGACAGTGAATCTGCTCGGTCATGATGCCAGGGATCACAGCTGGGATGAGGCAGAGGTGACAATCTCCTCCTGCCTGTACCCCCGTCCTGGCCCATCACTCTGTGTGTGTGTGTGTGTGCACGCACGTGCATGCATGGTTGTCATGATGGGACTGGGGTGGGAGGGGGAGATGGATGGCTGGGTACACATAAAGTCTGTCTCAGAACACCTGAAATGCAGACCTCCTTTGGCCAGACTTTCTGTGACCTGGGTATATTATCGTCACAGCTCACAGCTTCATGGGACATTTGTGCAGATGAAATTGATCAGCAGCAGGAGGAAAATAGCCGTTGCCTAGGCAACCAGCTGATGACTCATCCCGGCTTTGAAGCAGCCAAAGCCATGAGACTGCAGTAATTTTCCAGATGCTTAACCCGCCCTCCTCTTTCTCTCTCCCTGTTTCCCACTCCCCATCCTTCATTTCTTTCTCCACACCCACTTCCCCGGGTCCCCCCTTAACTGGACGCTGCCCACCTGGGTCCTGAGCTCTCTGAAGTAGGTGTAGAGACCCCATGCCCCCCACTGCATGTGTGACTTGATCTGCTGCTGCTCCCCATTCTAGCACCCAGAAAACGGCCGGGCTGGAAAAGTCTTGTTGCCACGGAGGCGCCAAGATGCTGCTTGTTGCCCTTAATCAGAAGAACATTAACATGTATCTAGTATCTTTTCTCCTCATCTAGTCTAACCTGCGCTCATCCATTTACCCCAGAGATCTGCAGAGCACTCCTTCCAGGAGATGTAATTACTCCTTCGGCCTCCCCCAGCAAAAGTGTGGAAATGATTTTTAAAGGTGATGAAGCTCACCTTTGCCAGCTGCTCTCTCTGCTAGATTTTCCCGTCCTCTAGCCCTAACTTTCCCACTCTTAATCCGGAGCCCGATTTTCCAGGCCCTTCTTAATTATCCATTATAATCCTCTCTAAAATGCAAAGTGATAGAAGCTTAAACCATTCCCTTCCCAATGGCGTTTTCATCTCAGTAAAGGACTTTCAAAGGCAAAGTATTTCAAGGCCCAAAGGGGAAAAAATCTTTAATTAGCCTTTTGAATATAAATCTAGGCAGTGGGGCCTCGGGCGGTGGGCTATGTCAGGTAAGGTTTTCCTCTGCACTTCATATGTGCAGCACCTGTGTGCTGCTGCTACGGATTTAAAAAACATTCCTAGTGGCTACAAGTTATTGCTTCAATTCTGTATCCCACCCCCTTCTATATGTATGTACTCCATTCACACATGTGCATGTGCACACACACACACACACACACACACACACACACACACACATGCACGCACCCTTTGAGCAGCAGGAGCAGCTGATAAGGGAAGCAACACATCCCGGGGATGAAGCTTGGTCCACTCACTTTTACTGGTTGGATGTATGTCGGGCATCTACGCGTGCAGACCGTGGCAGTGGGCACTGGGATCGGGGTGTCCACATGCTCTCGCGATAGCCTATAGGCAGAGAGGAACGGAGCGCAGACACACGCGCCTGTGGGAGTGAGTAATACCGTCTGGGGAGAAGGTGCTGGGTGTGGCTGCTCTTTGGAGTCTGTCCTCTGGGTCCCTTTACTGCTTTGTGTTTTAGTTAATTCAGTTGGCTCAGGCCTATGAGATCTTTCTCGCTAGTGTCCCACCACATTGTCACTCCACCTTGGGCTGACCAGCCTGCAAAGCCACCAGAGTCACAGACAGATGCTCATTTCCCTTCATCCTATCCTGAAGACAGCTCTCCTCTGGCCTTGGGCACCCACATGGTCTGAGAAGAAGCTGACTGGCGTATCCTCCCAGTCTCTCTGAACATCGAAACGCACGGAAACACATGAAACTTCTGAGATGGACCAGACCTTAGAGGGTATGCACTCCGACCGTCTGTCCAGTGCAGGCATCCTCCTAAAGCGTGTCTGATGGCCGTCATTTCATCTCACTGCACCTGAGTGCCCAGGAACTGGTAGCTGCTTCTCACAAGGCGGCCTCTTTTGTTTTTGAACAGATTTTATTGTTAATTTATTTATGCATTTATTGAGCAATTCCTTCGTTCAGTAAAGATGAACTGACATGCCTGTGGTGTGTTAGACACTGGAGGTGCAATGGTGAGCATGGCTTGTGGTTACGGGGGAGGCAGAACTGACCGCACAATCGGGCAGGACTAGCACACCAATGGGAAGAGTGCCGTGAGGCAGCTGTGCAGGGAGCTACGAGACCGTAAGTTTGGGGACTCTGGGCCAGTGGGCCTGGGAGGCAGTGGCCAGGAAGTTCAAGGGTGGCTTCCTTGGGCAAGTGATGCAGAGGCCAAAGAGTGGAGTTAGCTGGGCAGGGTAGGGTGGGGCAGGAGGGAAGAACCGAACATTCCAGAGAGAGGGAATAGACTGATAAGAAATCCTCTGGAAATGGCAAGAACCACAGCAGGTTCGAGAAAGGGAAGGAAGGCCAGTGTGGCTTGAGAATCCAGTGAGGGCGAGAGGGGCAAGAGAGGTGGCTGGTGAGGCTGGCGGGTGGATGGAACGTGGCTTCTAGGACATTCCAGTAGTGGAGGCCCCAGCGACTCGCAGTGTAGCTCAGATGGGGGAGCAATGGTGATTTCTTCCTTTTTCTCCCCTTCTTCTTCTTCTTCCCCACGTTGCTCTCCTCCTCTTCTTTTTATTGTAGGAGGGGGTGATTTATAACTAATTTGGTCTTCCTCAGAAACCCCATCTGCTGAGGAGCAAAAATTTCAGTTCCAAAGCTTAGTGTGAATTAAAAGTATAAATACAGACGGTCCCCAATTTACAACGGTTCGACTTAAGATTTTTCGGCTTTACAATGGTGTGAAACTGTCACAATCTCGATGCAATGTACGGTATTCAATAAGTTACACGAGCTATTTTACACTTTATTATAAAATAGGCTTTGTGTTAGATGATTTTGCCCGACTGTAGGCTGATGTGAGTGTTCTGAGCGTGTTTAAGGTAGGCTGGGCTAAGCTATGGTGTTCGCTATGTTAGGTGTAGTAAATGCATTTTCCACTATGTCAGCTGAAGGATGAGGAGCTTCACAAATTTGGAAAGGAGAGCTTAATTTCTCAGGAAGGGCTGCAGCCTGCAGGGTGGCCATCCTGACAGGCTGGGAAGCAACAGTTTCAGGCAGAAGCCGAGAGCTTGTACTTTGAGAGAGGGACCACAGGAATGGGAATTTATGCTGAGCAGGGTGGCCAAATATACATATTAAAAAAGCTACGGGAAGAGTCGTGAATATTTATGAGAGGAGAAACAGGCACATGCACAGTTGAGCTTTATGCTACTTCATGGGATCCATTTTTAGAAAATGGCAGCCTCAGCATGATCCTACGATGCAGGTTTTAGTCCTCTGACATCAAAAGGTAAAACAGAGCACCACGAAAGTCCTCAATGCACATCCTCCCTAGACTGGCCAGAACCACTCCATGGTTGGTGGTCTCTTTTCCGGAAGAAATGATGGTCGATTTGCAGAGACCACAAAAAGGGAGGAACAGCATTAGGTGGTAGATTGAAATCAGGTGAAGCAAGTCTTTTCAAAAGGTTGGTTCTGTTTAACTCTTAGGGAAGACAGCCTCAGGGTGGTTAATGAAGGAGGGCGTGTAATGAGGTGTGTTTAACCTCCCATTCTGTCATGGCCAGGAGCTCAGTTTTAAAATTTCTCTGGGATCTCCTTGGCCAAGAAGGGGTCTATTCAGTTGGTTAGAGGTTTGGGATTTATTTTTACTCCTCAATTTGATGAGATATTTTCAATTTAGGATGAGTTTATTGTGATATAATCCCATCATAAATTGAGAGGCATTTGTGATCTTTTTTTGAGTAAATGTGCTCAGATTCAGCTACCCTTACCTGCAACTCTTCAAGGTGATTTCTAAAGAATTGAGGTGGGTTTTGGCTAACTTGGTATTTGTAATACTAATGACAAAAGGGACCATTGATCCAGGCTGTCTTCTAGCTCTTTTGGTCTCTGTAGCAGTGTTGTCTGTCTTCCTGGTCACCACTTGCTCTGATGCGATTGGTGGCTGTGATCTGCTGCTCGTGCACCTTGCAGCTGGGTCCTTTTTCTTTTTCTCTCTCTAATTGCTCAGAGCCCAGAACCTGCCTCCAGGATGGTCTGATCTTGCCTCAGCTCTTAATGTATTTCTGTCATGTCCCCCAAATGCCTTTTGCCTGAGTGTCCATCTGAAGCCTGTGAAGCAGGGATTTCCAATTTCTGTTCCAGTAAGTCCTGGTGGACTGTTGGCTCTCAGCACAGTGCTCACTGTATATGGGACTAAATGTCTTGTCTTTTACCACAGATCAGCAAGGAGAACCTTCTCTGTACTGTGGGCAACTCATGGTCTTGGCAGCCAGATTTGACTCTGGATTAACCCAAAAGAGAAGATAAAGGAATTCAGAAAATCTTCTCTTGCATGTCTACTGGCTTGCTGCAAAAATCCATTTTAAATAAAAACTCTGGAGACAAGATGGCTGACCAGAGACACCAGTGCTAGATTGTCTGAGAAAGAAGAAAAAGGTTTAGATGAAAAAGAAACAAACAATCATAGATCGGGTGTAATTCTGGGGGGAAAGTGCCAGAACTTACAAGAGATTCCATGGTAAGAAGTTGTGGAGAACAATAAGAAGGAGCAAGATATCAGCAGCGGTCACCCCCTGAGAGGTGTGGAGTCCAGCAACAAGGGTAGGTGGAGTGGTTTGCTTTTCCTCCCTCACATGTCTGGCAGTCAGCAGACTCCCGAGCTGCTGGAGAGCCCTTCTACCCTCATGAGCCCCAAAGCTGCTGCTGCCAGTGAACTGGGAGCTTCTTGAGGACACAGCACCAGGCTGCCATCCCCCTGAGGGTGCTTCTGGTCACCAGAGACCCAGGCCAAGATGGCAGGTACCATATTGCTTCTCCACCCACCATGCACCTTGTTCCTCCCCATGGATCTTCAGCCCCTCAGTTTTCCTCTTGCTTGTTTCCACAAGAATATTTCCCAACTCTGGCTGGTGGGTCCCAGGGGATCTGTGTGAGTCCAGAGCATGGACATTCTAGGAGGGTTGCCTTCAAGAGAGAGGGACAGAGATGACCAGAGTGTTAGCTTTCCTCCATTCAGGCTCTCTTCCTCCCATTCCCCTCTCCCACCTGTGGCTGCTGAGAGAGACACCTGAGCCAGGGCTCTGAGGAGCTGCTGCTTCCCCTCTGTTGGGGCTTCCATAGAGAGTGGGGTTCAAACCTTTCCTCTTAAACACCTGAAGAGTACTAAAGGGTGCTTGGACTGTGAGGTCCCTGGTCCCCACCCCAGTGCTGCTTGCCTGGCTGCTCCATGAGAGCAGGCACGCCCTGAAGTGGAGTAACATCAAACCTGCTTGAGCACTCCATAGGCAACTCAGGACCAGCTTGCTTCTTCCTGGCATGGTCAGGGATTGACCTTTGGGGACCCAGGGACAGGCCTGTAGGCCAGATCCCACACCCCCAGGACTTGATATCGTGTTTCTTGGGGGGCACAGAGGGGAGATTTGTGAACTAATCTTGGGAGGTGAGGGAGTCCATGTGGGCAGACCTGAAAAGAGAGCACAGTGTGGGCCTCAGCCATAGCACACTCATGGAACGCCTCAACCCCCATAGAAAAGCCATGGTTTTAGCCTAAGATTTTGGACAGGGAATCTCCCAGCCTGCAGCACCATTATAGGGGAGCTCAGCTAGTTTGAGTTCCTGCCTGACAGCAGATGCTGGAAAAAGACCATGGAGCAGGGGATGGGGGATAAGAGCAAAACCCACTCCCAACAGCCAGATTGTGGATATCAGATGGCCCCCACCTCCACAGGCAGAATTTCTGGTTAGGTGGGGCCACCTCAACCCCTCCCTGGTGGCTTTATCCAGAAACCTGGATGCAGACCTTTGAACCCTGCTGAGACAGCTACCCTACCAGCTTTTGTGGAGCCTGAGGGAAGGTTCACCCAACCCATCCCTGCTCAGCCCTACTCCCCAACCTGCTTCTGCTGAGGTGAAAAATAAGGACTCATCTGGAAGTTCTAGGGCCTCACCCACCACCTGGGGCATTTGAGTGCTTTTCCTGAGGAGCTAGAACTGGTCACATGTCCCCAAAACAACACTGCAGCTTGTTCATTCTGGTAAGCACCTCCTACTAACAGGGAGGTCAATTTGCACAGCCCTTTACCACATTTACTGACTCAATCATACAGGGTATGGTTGATTCTTCCACAAACACCACCTACTGTCTCAGAATTGTTCAGTTCAAGGAATCTTTCTATTTCCAACTTAATTTCATTTTTGACCCAATAATATTTTGGCAGCAGGTTGTTTAATTTCCATGACTTTGTGTAGAATTGAGTGTTTTCCTTGGAGTTGGTTTCTGGTTTTATTCCACTGTAGTCTGAGAAGATATATGGTATGATTTTGACTTTTTAAAACATTTTCTAAGACTTATTTTGTGCTGTTTATCTCTTTGCTTAGATCTAGTAGGGTTTGCTTTATGAATCTGGGTGCTCCTTTGTTAGGTGCA